TGTGTGTGTGTGTGTGTGTGTGTGTGTGTGTGTGTGTGTGTGTGTGTCGCATGGAAGCGTGGAAGTTAAGGAGAAGAGACGTGTAGCAGCTTAATCTTTCCATTTCATTTTCCGGTGACCTCCCTTTGTAAAGGGAGGGGAGAGTTGTTAGGAGACCGTGTGCCTGCCTTTGGTGCTTTAATCTAGAACCGATTGATTAGAAGAAGGAGGGCCTGGTGGCGGGGCTTATAGAGGGTTTGGTGATCAAGCCCATGGCTTACTGTAGAAGCCGGACTGAATAAAGTTGCTGCTGAATCAGGGCACCGCACCCCATTGTGAAGGTGTTCAGTTTGCGTAGACTGCTGTGCACCGCACCGCAGTGGGTGTAGGGAGCTCTGGGCCTTCTCCCACCCCATACCTGCGGCTAATCTCCTCCCCAGAGACTCTGCTGCACTTGCTTCCCTTGAGAAAATGGAGATGGGCCATCGGTGAGCAGAGTCTGGGAAGCAGCAGTGGGAGGCTGATGGAAGGGGTGCATTCTTCAAGAAGTGGCCGATCTGTGGGCAGCTCCACCTTCCAGTTTGGAAGCCCAGCCACATGTGGTCGAAAGCGGGGATGGGTGACCTTCTCTTATTGATCACCTGTGCTTCTGAACTCCTGCCTTTTCTGGGCATGACCTTCCCTGTGGCAGGACTCAGGTTCCTTGTGGGGACCTTGAAGGCTGATTCCAAACAGGGAAACACACAATCCTTTGGATGCCAGGCCCTAGGACCCTCGATTAGGGCAGCATCCCTCTGGTTTGCTCTGGAGTGTAGTCAGCAGGGAGTGGAATTTAAACATCACTTTTTTACTCTCTAACTCCCAGAGGCCCCAGAGAAGGCCCAGCTCCTGGTCATGACTGATGGGGGAGGCCAGTTGAATGCCAGAGAGGAGCTGAACTCATAGGATTTTCAGTGCTTTTCCCAAAGCTTCAGGAATCTGATGAGTCGCCTGGCTGATGGGGAGTCTCCCCTGGTCAACTTTAGACAAAAGTCTCAGGTTCTGCCAAGTTCTAACAGGCTGCGTGTCAGGAGCCATCCTCTCATCTGGGTCATGTGACATCGAGAGAAGAAAGTCCCGCAGGCCTGGTGTGGGCTTATCGAGAGTTGTTGTCTCTTGTTTACAAACCCGGAGCTGCACGTTCATAGCAACACAATTAATTAAAAAATAAAAGAACAAAGACTTGGGGAGCTGCAAAAAATGTAGGCCACCCTTAAACAGCTGTATTGGTGGGACACCAAAAAGTCGGGAGGAAATAGAGACATCCGGTCTAGGCTCTGAGTGTTGGTGTGGTAGGGAATATTTCTATGTAATTGAATTTTGGGACTAGATTCGTCCAGTCCCTGCCCCTTCCCGCTCCACTGCTGGCTTCTCCTTTAGGGCCCAAGCTGAGGGTTTAGGCCTGCTTTTGTGTGGCCATGAGGAAGGAGGAGTAAGGCACATTATATGAGTGGCAGGTGGGACCGGCTTGGAAACATTCCCCCTTCAGCCTTTCCTCCTGAGGTGTTGAGGGCTAGGCTGTAGGCATTGTGGAGATCAAACCTTTTGGAGCTCTGGAGCTCCTTGCCATTCAAACTGTATCCACTGACCAGCATCATAATCATCCTGGAGAAGCTTGTTAGGAATGCAGAAACTCAGGCCTCACCCCAGGTCTATGGAATCAGAATCTGCATTTGAACCACATTCCCTGGTGATTCATAATCACATTAGAGTTTGAGAAGTACTGATCTAGCATGACCTTGAAGAAAAAGTTAGGGACCATTTTCTTTTGCTACGTTTTCCTCTATTGGTCTATCCTTGAGTTTGTGGGAATATCTGTGTGTCATGCTCAGCTGGACTTCCCTCCTTCAGCTTGGTGGGCTATAATAGGGTTTTCCCCTTGTCCTTGCCCCTCACCTTGCCCACTAGAGAGCTCCTTCCCTTGGCCCATGCTTTCAAGGGGATCATAAGGTCTCTCAGTCTGGTTACATGCCGCCAGAGGCTGGTTCTCTCTTCTCCATCCCTCCAGGATTTGGGGCGGATTTCGTCATGTTCTCTTAAGTGAGTATGAGAGTCACATACATAGATGGTTAGTCCATAGTGAGCTCAGTAATAGTTATTGGCTTGAATGAATTCCTCTTCTTCACCGGTACTTGAATTAACCATCTTGTGAATGCACCTCACAACTCTTCCAGGTTCCGACGTTATTTCTTCTTCAGCCCCAAATTTACTAAAGAAAGAGAGAGACAGTACCTATGATGGCAAAGTCTCTGAGGTAGTTTTTATGGGAGATACAAGGATGGGTAAGATAGAGTCCATGACCTTGAGCGTACAATTTACAAAGGAGAACAGGACTGTAGTTAGAGACCCACCAAGAGAGGCAGAACATGACAAACGTCATTAGGAGAAATGTAAAGTGCATCTCCTGGAGTTTCAGAGGACAGCAGCCCTCAGCAGTCAGTCTGCGATGGCTTTATAGGGTGGTCAGGGTCAGCAAGCTGGGTAGAAATTCAACAGGGAGTGATAGGTAGAATACAAACCGGGCTGAAAGAACAACATAGAAAAAAGGCAAAAGGTCACTTGAGGAATAGTTAGTGAAGAGCCTTAATGCCTGGCTTGGCAGTTTGGGGCCTAATTTCAGTGGATAAAGGGAAATTGCTGAAGGTAGCTGAGTAGGGAAGTGACATCCTAGTGGCTGTAATAACCAGTGTGGGGTGGGAGGATGTCAGCACTGTGAGCAGATGAATCATCTGGACCATTTTGGGGAGCAGCAAAGGCATCACAGAGAAAAGAACCTGAGTCTCAAGCTTCAGTTTTGGTTGAAAATGGTCTGAGTTTTGGGTATGTATGTGTATATATGCGAGTGTAAGAGAGAGAAATAAATGGGAGAGAGAGAGGGAGAAGGAGACAACTATGTGGGTGTGGACAAGAAGCTAATACTCTGTTGAAACTGTAGCAATGCTTTAGCTTTCATGGTAGTTTGTGGGAGGTGGGGAAAGAGCTCATGATATCAGAGCATTTCAAGTGTTGTGTCCTCATCCAGAGCTCAGGGGTAAGTATATGGAGAACAAAATGAAGATATACGGAGGCTGAATGATTGGCTCCCACCACAACTGGGGAAAGAATTGCGTTTCCTAGAGCCTCCTCTCCAGAGCCCATCTCAAGCTCCAATCCCCACTGATGCACGCAGAGGGTGGTTGTGATCCCTGTGACGTCTGGCAGCCAGAGGGGCATCCCCACGTCTGGGATCATGCTCGGAAACAAACACAGGTCACTCACAGGGCCGCCTCCTGTTTTGCAGTTTCCAGCGGGTTTTTTGGAGGCCAGTGGCATGAAATCCATCCTCAGTACTGGACCAAGTACCAGGTGTGGGAATGGCTCCAGCACCTCCTGGACACCAACCAGCTGGATGCCAGCTGCATCCCTTTCCAGGAGTTTGACATCAACGGCGAGCATCTCTGCAGCATGAGTCTGCAGGAGTTCACCCGGGCGGCAGGGACAGCGGGACAGCTCCTCTACAGCAACTTGCAGCATCTCAAGTGGAATGGTAACTCTTTCTCTGTCTCTGTCTCTGTCTCTCTGCCCTGCTAGGAGCCATCTGGGAAGAGCAGAGACTCCACAGCTGGCAGGGCTCCTGTTTAGGGGCATCCAAGGATGGTCTCACCTCCAAATTACTGTCTCCTGAGACAGAGAAGTAGAAGGGAGGTGAGAGGACAGGCTTGAAGCCTAGGGTACAAGATGTGTCTAATCCCATACAAATCCAGCATAATGTAATTCTCTCTTTACATGGTTAATTTCCAAGGAGACAAAGGTTAGCTGGGTATTCACAGGATACTTGGTACTCTCAGAAAACCACTTCTTTCTCTTGCAAATGGGGTTCATTGTTTCATTCCCAATCCCTTGCTTGTTAAGATCATCATGGCTATTTTTTTAAAAAACTTTCTACACCTAGGTTCTTAAGATGGGACGTAAGTGTGGTATGAAAATAGGCAAAATTAGATCTAGTTTGTTTTTTGGGAGGGGAGAAAGCTTACGATACTACAACAGATTTTTAAAAGGTCCTGAATCGAAAAAAGGCTTAAAACGAATGGTCTGGACACATCTGGGATGTTTCTGCAGTGATTTCTGGGATTGGTGCTGCCCTAGAGCCCCAGGTGTCTTTCCTGAGGCCTCACCTAGCACATGGACAGGCACCGTTTAAAGGCTGTCCATTGGTGCTAGTTTATTCACACATGCACGCGTGCTACACTGGCTTGCAAGAGCTGGTAGGGTAGACATCTATCTTGCAGAATGTCCTTGACACGGGCCTAAGGTTCTTCTGATAGTGGTTATAAAAACTAGCTCCTCTGAGAACTATTTTGGAAAGCAGTGATATGTACGAATAGTGAGCTGTCCTGTCCACATCGGAATGGGCATGCTGTCTAAGCAGAATCTGTGTTTGGGCATGTAGCTGGAGCTTTGGGAAGCATGAGCTCCAGGGCTGTGAACCAGATTCAGATCCAGAGAGCTGCCATCAACACTGAAGAGAACCCAGCGTCTGGCTGCGGAGCGGGCAGAAGTGGTGGTCCTTTGAGATGACCTCATTCAGCTCCTGGGCACTCCCTACTTCCCATCCACCTCACAGAAGTGGTTGCTCCTTTTTCTTTTACTAGAACCAAACCAAACAAAGCTCTAAAAATAACCCCCAGGCATCTTCAGAAAGAGCAGACTTACACTTGAAGAATTAAAAATATTTACCTCCCCACCTCCAATTAAATCCAGCGGGACAGCTCCTCTACAGCAACTTGCAGCATCTCAAGTGGAATGGTAACTCTTTCTCTGTCTCTGTCTCTTTAAAGCTTTGCCCTGATTGAAGCTCAAGGCAGGGAAGCGTGGGAGGTGATGTGGCCGTCCTTGACCTTCCACCTTTGACCTTCCATCTTTGGCCTTCCATGACTTGCATGCTGCTGGTGCCTCTGAATGCCTAATGTCCAGATTTCTCACCTTTCTTTCGTTGTTTGCCTTTTTGTAGACATTCCTCTAACTTCCATTTATTGAGTATTTACTTATACAAGGACTCTAAGTGAATTGATTCATTTGGTGACCTTATGAGAAAATAAATATTGCACCCATTTGACAGGGGCAGTTTTCATCTGGGAAAACTGAAGGTCAGAGGCATTAAAGCATGACCTCTGCTCCTGAGATATTTATAATCTGGATGGGCAGGAAAAACATATGAAACGAACTCACATGTATATATGTGCTTTTATATATGATACATCTGGAGAAAAGTTGCCAGGCATAAATAAGGGAAGAATCACTGCACTTATCCAGACATAGCTCATAGATTAGATCTAATCAAAAGGGGTTTGATTAAATTTAAGATCAAAGAAGAATTAAGGTGATTTTCCTTGTGTTTCCTTTGCATTTTGTATCAAATCTTAGTATGCGAAAGCACCTTAGAGGAAATCTAATGACTTTAGCTAGTTTAATCTCCGAAATATACAGTTGAGGAAACCAAGATGAAGAAAGGTGAAGTACCTTGCAGCTATTAGTGGAAAAACTGGTCTTTCAACTTCTGAAGTTTTATTTCCTTCATACTGGATGCCTTCTCTATACAAGGCCAAATAATTCCATCTGATGTTGGTGCCCTAGCTACTGATTTTCTGGGCCAAGGGCCCCAGGCTTGAGATTATAGATCCAGAGAGGGAAGCCCCCTCCCAGAAGCAAAGAAGGGTGACCATGCTGTGGGACTGGCAGAAACTCTTTCATGAAGCCAGCTTCGTCCTTGGTCAAGCAACACATTTTGGCTACATGTGGGCCCGCTCTGAGTTTCCCAATCTGTCCTTCACAGGCCAGTGCAGCAGCGACCTGTTCCAGTCCACACACAATGTCATCGTCAAGACCGAACAAGCTGGTGAGTCGTGGCAGATGAAGGGAGCCAACTTGGTAGGCAAAGGCCTGCGGAGGACAACTGAGAGGGAGTGTGAGGGAGAGTGTGAGAGCGGGACGGAGCCAGTACTTTGGCAGGAAACCCAGGGATGTCTCTTCCCTGGCTGTCTCCAATGGGCCCGGCAGCCATGAGCCTCATCCCTCGTCCTTGGGACCAGTGACTGCCGACTATTTCTGATTTCTAAGATTGATGGTGAGCCTAATTCTGCTCACACTTCTCTGCTTCCCATGGTTGGTCAAGGGAACATCCAGGCTCTGATCCAGGAGCCCAGAAAATGCAGAGTCTAAGTGGGCTTTCCTGTCACCACAAAGAGTCAGGGGATTGGACTTGGCCAAGTTACGAGAAGCCAGGGGAGAGAAGAGGAAGGGTCAGTGTCTCCTCTCCCTCTCCTCCCTTGGAGGGAGTGTGTTTCTCAAGGAGGAGGAAGGTTCGGACTTGGTGTTGTAGTTACTATAGTTTCTGGGGACCTTGGAGTTTCTGTAGGGATGTCCAAAGGCAGCTGTGGAACTGACTCCTGCCTTAAGTATGCTTTTAGACAAAAGCCACTATTCTGAGCTCTGAGTAGGGTCTGCAGGCCCAGAGTAGCTACATTCATGTTTGTTCTCCTTCATCTGCCTAATCATCCCTCCTTCCTCTGCCCCAAAATCTCTCTCCTGGGGACTTTCTGTCTCCCCTGGGAACTTGCAGGGGGCAGTAACTGCCTCGAGAAGTTGTGCCCTAGAGCCTTGTACCAATCAGAGGTCTTTGTATAGTGACCTTTGGCCTATGACCTCTTAGTCTAGGGAGAGCTCTGCAAGTCCCCCCAGGTCCATAGGAGCTGCCACTGCTCCAAGGTCACTCCCCATGTCCACATCAGTGAGAATGTGGGCCACATGGACCAACCACGGAGTTTGCCTCAGGCCTCCCTGCAGGTTGCGTGCCGGTCACCAAGGACTATATTAGACCTGGGGTGATTTGTGAGTCACTAGGGGCAGAAATTGGCCCCACGCAGTTATTTACTCTTTTATAAGGGGGCTGGTCTACCATTATTAAAGAAAAAACAGTAGCTGTAAACATGTGGATTAGGTATTCCTAGCCCTGCCCTTCCCCCCAGAGACCAGGGTTGAGTTACCCAGATGGTCTATGCTTTATGGACGTGACTGCCCTAGAGGCAGGCACAGGACTTGACCTAGAGGATGGTGCCCCCTGACCCCGAATCCCCACTGTTGACTGGACAGATAGCCCCAGCGGAGGAGCCAGGCTGGTACTGGAGAGGTCCCAAGTACTTGACAATTCCTCCTTGACCATCCAGATCTTCTCATGTTGCCAGTTCAGAAAAGCTGAGCCGAAGGGTGGGGAGGAAGCTCCACCCTGGGAGGAGGGGAAAGGAGGCTCATACAGGGGCCAACACCCCCAAACCTTTTTGGTTCAGTTTGTTTTCAGAGACAACAACAGGTACACAAGGTGACCCAACGAGGACAGAGGGTGTAACCCCTAAGTGATCAGGCTTGGGGTGCCCAAACACGTAGCTATTAGTTCAAATACCAGCTAAATCCCTATGTCGTAAACAGGAGGACTTAGCCAGTGAGTCAGGTTTTTATACCATTTATGCTACAAAAACAAAATGAAACTCGGCCAGTGGCTTACCACCCCGGCCCTGAAATTCAGATGCTGGGCAGGAGGGAGCCGAGGCCAGCCTCTGTCTGTGACGAGGGGAGAGCAGGAAGCTCCTGGTGGGGATGAGGTGACAGCTCCTGCCAGATCTCACAGCTCTTGGCCAGCCAGGAAAGAAGAAGCTTCTGTTGGAGATCAGCCCAGAGGTGAGGGGTGTGTAGGAGTTGGGCTTCGTTTAGGGTAGGTGGAGGGGAGTTTCCTTGGAGTCTGAAATCTGAAGAGTCAGGAGACGTGCTTACCCAGCACACTGAAGAGAGAGAGAGAGAGGACTTTTCCTAGATGAAGCAACGAGGCCCTACTCTTAAAACCTGTTTATTTGATTTGGTAACGCTCTCATCTCCTTCTCCTTAGTTCTGTTTTGAAAATTTTATGTCACCCCTTAAGCATATTGGAGAAATCTTGGAGGGAGGGGGCTGTCACCCAACTTGAGGAGAGTTTCTCTCTGGATTTTAGCAATAAAGACTCTGTGATAAGACTGAGCAGACTTTTTCTTAAAGAAACATCATTAATTCTCCCAGGAAGACGTTACTAGGAAAAGATGCTCATTAATCATGAAATTATTTTGTCCCTGCCATTTTTTTTACTAGTCTAAAAATATTCTGGTGACAATATAGTAGAATGTAAGACAATGCCAGGCTCCTGGAACCCCCCTCCCCCACCAAGTGCAGACTGGGAATATCCTCAGGAAAGCATTGATCTAGGACAGGATCCCACTGTTGCAACTTCTCTCACTTCCCTCAAAATGCAACAGGTGTAGAACACCTGGATGGGGCCGTAACAAAGTCCACCTCCCCTAGGGCCCTGGAAGAAAACTGGGGTAACATTATGATAAGGTAACATGTGGCTGAAGCAGAATCTTATCTCTTCTCTCTGAGAACCAGCCCCTTGTCCCACACCTCTCTGATGAACAGTGAGTAAGAAAAGGCAAACTCCTCACCTGGGGAAGGTGATTGCTGACATTCCCATTTTCTGTCCTTTGTAGACCCTTCCATCATGAACACCTGGAAAGAAGAAAACTATTTATATGACACCAACTATGGTAGCACAGTAGGTAACTAACTCCCCAACGCTTAAGACCCTTTTACATTCTTATTCTGGTTTTCTAACAGCCCAAAATTTATGTTGTAAGGAGGGGACTCTTAATGTCCTTTATGTTTTCATTGCCACAGAGTTGTTGGACAGCAAAACTTTCTGCCGGGCCCAGATCTCCATGACAACCAGCGGTCACCTTCCCATTGGTAAGTTGTCCTGACATCCGAGGCTGAGTGTACCTCCTGCAAGTGCTTACTGTGAATTAATGAGAATTACCAATGCCCTACATTTCTAACTTTGCTGGAGTCTTTCCCATTAAAAGGCTAGGAAAAATTTATAGAGAATCTGCTTTCGGGCCCATATTTGTACATTGAAAATGACCAGCAAGGATGCCTCTAGGAAATGTGTTTTGCTCCTGTGAAACCAAGTCACTCTCTGTGACAACAGAAACTCTCTCTTCAGTAAAAACTTGCTTTTGTGAAATTATCCAATAAAATTATTCATATGTGGGTATCCTTATGGGGGAGAAGGCTCTATTTAATTTTCAACAAGCTGTCTTTGGCTTTAGAGACTGAATGTCTAAGAGTGGAATTCAGAGGTCAGTGAACCTGGGATGATGGTCTCTGGGTGGAGGGGCAGTAGCTGAAAACTTCTGGAACCCTGGGAATCACAGGTCAGTTTTAAAGTCTGACCTTGTCGGCTCATCAGGACTCTCTAATTAGTCAGACCACCTGCACATTATGAATTATGTTCATATGAGTTGTGTTTGGTTAGGACTGGATGCATCTGGGGTCTACCCATGACTCTCAATCAAGGTTACACTGAGCGGGAGGGTTGGTCTGTTGAGAGTCTGGGAGAGGAGCTTTCAGATTGTATTTCAGATTATTTCTCCTTGTCCACTTACAAATAGGTCCACTGGTAGGAATGAGTGCATGGGGGAGGTGAAGAGAGGGTTTCGTGTTGTCCCTTGATCTCGGTGCGAATTTGTGAATCTGTTTGGCTCTGTGAAATGGAACTTAGACCCGTCACAAGTGAATCTGTCTTTTCCTGGAATTGAATTTGGGGCAGCTTCAGAACTGGGATTTAAAAGAGTGTCTGTGAAAGGAAGAATCAAACAACAACCCTTCCTCCTTCCTTTTTTTTTTTTTTTTTTTTTTTTCATTTTGTTGAGTGTGCTTTTGAGAACTGAAAAAATGCAAGCTTTTGGTTTGAGGTTTTGTTCGGGTCAAGCCCTTTGAATGAGACAGGGCTGGCAGCCAGGGTAAATGCTTCTGGAATTGAGGTTAAGAATGGAGGCCAATTCATTTCTCGACCTCCCCCTCCACACAGAGGCCCATCGCCTTATGTGTCACTCTAAGTATTTGCTGAAATTAGGGAACTAGATCAAACACTGGAAAGGTTCTGCAGTGGATTTGCCATGCTGGGGGAACTGAGCCAGTCAGGGTAAAATTTCTGTGGCAATCGTTGCCACCTAGTCAAGACCAAGGTTTTCAGAGCTGAAGAAACCGCCACGGTCGCCCTCTGACTTCCTGACACGCCTCCTGAGGTGTCACCTCCCACTTCCTGGGTCTTTGGCTTAGGGCAGAAGATTCCAAGGAAGAATAAAGTTGAACCAACCACTTCCTGAGCCTCAGGGATGGTTAGGTCTCTAGGCACCTGGGAGAGGAAAAGCCGTAATCAACAACTCTGCTGCCCTCCCAGCCAGACCACACTGCTGTCTCCTGCATCCTGACTTAACCTGCTGGAATCTCCCAATCAACAGGGACCAATGTCGGCTTTCATATTTGTAGTAACAGGGAACTAACTCACTGTCTCCTGAGTTCAACTATTCTACTTTTGAATAGTCCTTCTTCAAATGGGCTTTACAGATCTGCTCTCCTGCACCTCCCTTGATTCTTGATCACCTTACTCCACATTCCTATCCCGAAATGGTAACACAGGCTGGAAAATGAGATGAGCCCTCCAGGACCCCGATCCGAATGATCACTTAAAGAATCATTTCAGTGTCTGGGTTGCTGAATTCTTTGGGGTAACAGCCTTCCAGGTAGGGTTGTTAATTACAGCCTTGTAAGGATCAGTTCCTTTCAGAATAGTTTAGTCTCTACTGGACGGGACCAGACCCGCCCCCCCCCCCCCGCCCCCCCCCCCCCCCCCGCCAAAGACCCTTGTCATTTGAGTCTTTGGATTTCCAGCTCCCATGGAGTGTAGTTAAGTATCTTTATGTGTTTTAGTGCAAGTCACAAGCCGCGCCGAGGCGAGGCCACACGTCAACTGGACGCCCTCGGTGATAAACACAGGTGGGGAAGCAGGCTCTGTTTTGATGTCTCTGTCATCTGCTCATTTCATAAAATGGCCGCCGCCAGTGTTCCGGATCTGCCCGATAGTCCTCGAGCCAATGACGCTAATTCCGGATTGATGTGTTTATTTACCGACTCGCTGAGCCTAGAGCGAGGGTGGCATGGTCTATTATAACGCTGAAATTTGTATATCCCGTAAAGAAATGGCTCACAGCTGAATAATATGCAAATGCTTCTAATCTTTGCTTCTTGTGAAGCAGCTTAGATGAAGTCATGCTCTGGAACTCATCATAAACTCGTGCCTTGGTGGTGCCCCGTCTGGACTGGACCTTGGCCTGAGGTGCCTGGGAGTGGAGCAGGAGAAGGCCAATCTGGACAGTTTCCCCAGAGCAAGCCATTATTTTATAAGGATGAATCACTTAACCACGCGGCTAGCTTCAAAGGTTTTGACTTTTATTTGGGGGCCGGGGGAAGATACAGGGGGCAAGGCCATCATATTAAGGTGAGGTTTCAGATCAAAGGATTTTAGTGCTGAGGCAGGTGGGTGATTCCACAGCTTGTCGTGCATGCCCTGGGGACTGGAAGAAGAGGCCGGAAGAAATTCAAGTTTCTTTTGCCCTTGGCTGCATATTCTTGCCTACGATGATGCACACATTTTTACTGGGGGGATGTTTTTCGTGGGAGGTCTTTCTTAAGCTGGATGGAAATCTAGCTTGGGCAAATGGCTGACATCTCAAAGAGAACATGTCCTCGTGGTGTAGCTGGTCTGGGGGTTCTTAATCTGGAGTCCATGGACTCCTAAGTGACCCACACACTCCTGAAATTGTTGCAGAATTTCACGAGTGTACGCATATGTGCCCTGTTCTGGGGAGAGGGGCCAAGGTTTCCATTTTACTCATGAAGGTACCTTAACTCCCCAAAGTAGCTGATTCTTGCATTGCATGAGTTTGCAACCCGTAAACAATGATTGAGGCCAAGCTGAGAGACACCTACACTTGGGTTTTTCTGAGTTCAATGCTGGCTCTGAAATAATGGCCCTGCATCCCTCCTGGATGCCATTTGAAAATGAGCTTTGCTTGTGGCCTGCTGGGTAAATGCCACTCTTTGTCTGCAGAACAACGTGGCCCTGTCAGAATGATGTATCACTTGGAAACCGCTGTGGGTGCCAACCTGTCGCAATATTGTCACATCCTGATGGGATGTCGCAACCTCACCCTGAAACCTACAGGGAGGGAGAGTGGAGTCTCCTTGCATTTCCTGCGAATTTGTTCTTTCAGGTTTCAGAGAAATCCAAGTCGGATGCGAACCCTCCTGCTGACAGTGTTGAGGGGGAGGGGCGGCGGGGTGGGGGAGGATGGTGGCACATTTAACCAGAAAAAGAGGTTTCTCTTGTAACCAGATCTTATTAAAACTCTCTCATCTATCCCACCACGACTTTCAAACTGCTGTGAGCTCTGAGTTGTGACAATCTGGGGGATCAGATAGGTGAATGCACCCGTGCATGCGGGGAAATAGAGAATCATCAAATTGGAATGACTTTTCCCCACTAACTAGTGGGTTGCAGGACTGAACCTGATTCTTGGCAGGGAAGACATTTATGAAATCTCTTATGTGGCACCCTCTTTGGAAATGGCATAGAATAGTGGTTATGAGTGAAACCTCTGGATCCTGCTATCGCCTTCTTCATAGGGCGATTGTGTGAATCAAAACAGGTGATTCATGGAAAGTGCTGACCACAGTGCCTGGTACATAGTAAGTGGTCAAGAAACAGGAGCTAGTCTTCTTAACCATTTTCCTTAGGAGGTAATGGTATTCAAACTTTATTGAATAATGGATCACTACTGACAATCTTGAAAGCTGTGGACCCTCTTCCTTTGCCTGCGGTTTCAGTCAGTCTGAAATGCCCTTGAAGTCCACACATGGGTCAGCAAACCTTAAGTTAGGGAGCCCTGATGTAATGTACACAGAAGGGATGCGATATACTGGTCCAATTTCTTATCAGGATTGGCTACCATTTAGGGGCTGCCCCGGATTCAAGTTGGCAGATTTTTGATTGTGGGAGTTTTTTTTGGTAAGATCTGCGTTAGTTGTCCTGACATTTGAAGTGCCCACTGACACACCCACACACCCACACACCCACACACACCCCCACACACACACTGCTAGATCATTTAGTTTTCTCTTTAACAAGTTTTATTTCACAGATTTGCCTCTGTCAACTCCTCTTTGTTGATAATCTCAAGGGTTACCATAATGAGTCATTTGTTAAACTAATCTGTGTTTCCATAGTCCACTGTGGCCCTCTGTACTGAGCTCAGGCCAGTCAATGGCCCCTTTGTCAGGCTGATTAAAAGGTAACTTTGCATGCCGAAAAAGGCACTCCTCTGGCTTACAAGTCATCTTTCTTTGTTATAAATGTTTACATTTTTGTTTTATATATATATATAAAAGCCTAAAACTTTTCAATGACCTAAATCCTTCAGTGGGGACTTCCCTGGTGGTGCAGTGGTTAAGAATCCACCTGCCAATGCAGGGGACACGGGTTCGATCCCTGGTCCGGGAAGATTCCACGTGCCGTGGAGCAACTAAGCCCGGCACCACAACTACTGAGCCTGCACTCTAGAGGCCGTGAGCCACAACTACTAAGCCCGCGTGCCACAGCTGCTGAAGCCCACACATCTGGAGTCCGTGCTCTGCAACAAGAAGCCACTGTAATGAGAAGCCCACACACCGCAACGAAGAGTAGCCCCCACTCGCCTCAACTAGAAAAAGCCAGCGGGCAGCAAAGAAGACCAGCGCAGCCAAAAATAAATAAATAAAAAATAAATCCTTCAATGGTTTCCCACCTCTCACAGAATAAGAGCTAAAATCCTCAAAAAGTCCTACAAGGCCTTAGTGATCTGAACCTCACCTGCTCCCCTCTGCCCCTTGTTCACAGCCACACTGACTTCCTTCTATTCTATGCACACTGACCTCAGGGCCTTTGCTATTCTCAGGCGTGGAAAGCTCTTCCACAACCTCTCTGTATGACTGTCCCCTCACACCTTTCTGGTCCCTTTATCAGAGACGTCTTCTGTGACCACCTTATATTTAATGGCAAAATTATTCCTATCTCCACACTTCTACCCCTATTTCTTACCCTGAAATTTTTTCTCCAGAGCACTTATCACCTCTGTTTTGTTTTGGACACGACCACCTACCTGAACAGTGCTAGGCATGTAGTAGGTGCTCAATAAATACTGGTGAAATGAGTGGATGCATGAATGAAGATGATAATTGTAGGAAATAGGGAAATGAAGCAGTTCTCATTTTTCTCTTCAGCAGAGTCGCCTGATATGAAAAAGCAGCAAGACCAACCAACAAAGTCCCACACCAAAAAGCACAGTAAGTTGGCTGGCTTTCAGATGCCTCCTGGCCCTTCCCCTTGAGTGGAGACTAACTGGAGGCCACCAGTGTTTAGACAAATATTGCCTCTGCCTTCTACCTGCATTTCTTCACCTCAGACTGGGTAGGGTGTGAAAAGAGAGGCATCACTTGCGGTCTAAGTAACCCCCTCTGCAGTTGTTTCTCAAAGTGGAGCCCCAGTGGTTATTTCCTCCTCATTCTGTTCTCTTTATGCTAAAACTGAGACATCAGTGAACAAGAACTTCTTGCAGGCACGGGGTGAGCAATTTCCCTTTCTCCAGAGAAAAGGGTGGGAAAAGGAGAGAGATGGGAAGAAACAGCTGAGGGTGTATTCTTTTTTTCTTTTGCTGAATGTTGGCTTCTTACTTTTGTGGAGTTATTGTTCCAAGAAATACTGTTTATTCTTAAGATTCAACAGTGCTTTTGGGGAGTTGTATTTCCCCCGACAATAAAACCTTATGAAAGTGTATGAAATATCAGAGACGTGGAGGTGGTGGGGGGGAGGACACGGAAAGAAATCAAGGTGGTGTCATCTGGAAATTGTAAGGAGTTGGACTGCCATCTGCTATCTGCTACTCCAGGTCCTCCCACAGAACAGAATGAACACAGCCCTTCAAATTGGGTGTGGGAGGGCGTTGTGTGTCACAAATCCAGTGAGGGTAGAATTGAATTTGGTTGCTAATTTCATTACAGTTGCTGTTTCATTTTCAAATTGGCCCCCTCCACCCCTGTGAGACCCCGCACCAATATATTCTAGGAGTTAGAATTCTAAGACCCTACCGACACGCATTTGGCTGACACAGTTGCTGGGTGGCAGCCGTCTAATTGATTGAGGTTCTAAACAAAAGAGGTTCTGGATAAAAGTGGTTGAGCGTTGCTCTCCTGGGAAGTAACAAGTTAAAATGAATGCCGAGCAATCTGTTAACCGTATTTAGAAGATACACCTCCTAGCCTAGGAGATCTAAAACCTATTTTTTAAACTTATTTCTTTCTATTGAAGTACAGTTGATTTACAATGTTGTGTTCATTTCTGCTGTACAGCAAAGTGATTCAGTTATACATATATATACGTCCTTTTTAAAAAATTTTTTTATTATTGTTTATCATAGGATATTGAATATAGTTCCCTGTGCTATACAGTAGAACCTTGTTGTTTATCCATTCCATATAATAGCTTACATCTGCTAACCCCGACCTCCCACTCCGCCCCCTCTCCCAACCCGTGCCCCCTTGGCAAACACAAATCTGTTCTCTGTGTAAGACCTATTCTTTTGTCTTGGCTTTGCCACTCGTTAGCTGTGTGACCTTGGTCAAGTCAGTTGAATTCTCCATGCTTCAGCTTTCTGATTTGTAAAATTAAAAACCTGTGCTAGTTCATTCTTAAATACCCAGTGGGGAGTCTGTGACTTGGCGTCACAGGTGGGTAGCATGGAATCAAGTATCTCTGACTTGTTGTGAGATATTTCAACTCTAGGCTTCCTCTAGCCCTTCTTTGCAGTGACTTCAGCCATGAATAAACTCCTTTTTCTCCTTCACCTCAGATCCGCGAGGGACTCACTTATGGGAATTCATCCGCGACATCCTCCTGAACCCAGACAAGAATCCAGGGTTAATCAAGTGGGAAGACCGGTCTGAGGGCATCTTCAGGTTCTTGAAATCAGAGGCTGTGGCCCAGCTATGGGGGAAAAAGAAAAACAACAGCAGCATGACCTACGAAAAACTCAGCCGAGCCATGAGGTGAGGGGTTTCACGTCTCCAAGCGTGATAAGGCCGTGTGACCAGTCATTCCCCCGGCTGTCTTAATCAGACCAGCCACCTTATGCAATGCCTTTTGTTACAGATATTACTACAAAAGAGAAATTCTGGAACGTGTGGATGGACGAAGACTGGTATATAAATTTGGGAAGAATGCACGCGGATGGAGGGAAAATGAAAACTGAAGCTGCTGAAACATTGAACACAAACCTAAACACATCCCACATGATAACCAACCAAGGAGTCCCTGGACATAAATATTTCAAAGACTGCTTTTCTCTGATATTTATGTACCATGACGGGGAAAAAAATACATCTACTTCTAACAGGAAGAAGGAACATGACAGTTGATAGAATTATTTTGTTACTTTGAAGTATGTCCTATATGGGGAACAAACGTACACAGTTTTCTGTGAAATATGACACTGTATGTGGCTGTGATTTGTTTTTGCCTCTATTGTGAAGTTCTTTTCCACTGCAAGAACAGAGTCTGTAGCCATGTGCTTCTTGCTAAGGAGAAAGAAAAAAAAATCAGATGGCATTAAAAGTTTTTATGTGCAAAATGATTTAGGAAAAGATGAGGTGTCCTCCGCACATAGCATCCTCGTGGCCTCTTCAGGAGAGGTGGGCGTGGCCTCTAGGATGAACTCCAGGGTCTCCGATTGGTGGGATGAACCAGAAGGATGCTGAGAAGTCTACCCTGACCTTCGGGAGTCAGTGAGTGGAGAATGAGGACTTCCACAATCCAGAGTGGACTGTAATCATTGCATAATCACATGCCTTTTATGCTTAAATCAGAAAAGAATAATGGTGGAGGGGGCTTTATACTCATTCAGGAATGATTTACCCGGTGCCAAGTCTATCTTCCCTCCTCCCCCTTGGATGATTGGTGAAAAACTTCAATTGCCACCTCTGCTCACTTTTAGTTACTTAAAGAGAAGGTCCGGCTTTGGTTATTTTTATCCCAGTTGCTTAAAAATAAGTGGGAAAAGGGAGGTAGTTATGAGTTTGCTCTTGTACTCCTACTGTCCTGTGGTTTCCCAATTGGCACAATTGATATTTTTGTCTGAATTATTCTTTGTTGTGTATTATTTGGCTGTCCTGTGTGTTTTGGGATGTTTAGCAGTATCTATGATCTGTACCCACTAGGTGCCAATGGCACTCTGGTCCTCGAAGTTATGACAACCCAAAATGTCTCTAGACATTACCAAATGTCCCCGGGGCCTGGGGGGAGGGAGAACCACTGATTTAGCTAGTCAAGATGAAGATGGTGATTTATTCTCAGAAAAACAACAACAAAAAATCCCTAGAGTGAAGCAAAAGCAAGACTTTAAAGTCAACCTATTTTTCATTTTTAAAATGTTTGGACAATGGGTTGAAAGAGCTAGAGCGATTTCTTTTCAGAACCTGAGATGAGAGCTAGACTCAGATAAATTAAACAAGGGCTAACAATAGAACACACTGCACTAGAATTACAAAACAGAGTAAATATTATATTACAGAAGGAAACACTGAGAGGAGAGAAAAAGAGTGTGTGTGTGAGAGAGAGGAAGTTAGTTCCAGGGGAGAATCTTTGCAGATGTTAGTTCTTATAATCTTTCCTCTTTTGGATAATCTCTTTCCTGTCTCATCTTAACTCATTCCAAAGTGAATGATGTCTTGCCTAGATTTGCATCTAAAAGAATGTTAAAAAAAAAAAAAAGGCAAAGAAAAGAAAGGAAAGATGGAAGAGAAAAACAGAAAACTCTGTTCAGGATCTATGGTCAGGAAGGAGTTAGAGACTTCTCCAATGACGGCATTGTTCTGGGTCCCTGCAGACTTATCGCCAGACCCTGAAATCTGGGAGGAACGTGAGCCTGTAGACACTTTGAAAATGAGTTTGAACATCCAGATCCCTTTTGCAACTTTTCTTTTCTGCTCCCCATGTCCTTGGCTTTCTCCTCCCTCCTGCCTCTCTGTCTTGAGCATAATATGGGAATGAAGACATGTACCAATAAGAGGGGGCTCGTCTCATCCACTGATGGAACACCTCCTGCAGTGCCTTCCTCAACTCAGGCAAGCGAGTCATAGTCAAAGGTTGCAGAGTGTCTGTAATGGATTCAGAATGTTGGAAGTATGAAGAATTTGTCCTAATTATAATGAGAGCCATTATGGCCAGTGACCTTGGAGCACAGCTTAGTGAGATGAATGACCTTCTGAAGGTACAACCGAGTTGTTTTTCTCTCTGCCTGACTTGGTGCTACTCAGTGTTGTCAAGTCACAGTTACTGAGGGAACTGAGAGAAATGAAGATGAGCAGCACAGATCTGAGACATTCCTGCATGACAGACACACCTTGCTCTCCGAGGAAGGCTAAAGAGCTATGAGGCTTTCCCAGCAGTTGACTATACTTCCCACAGAATGAATTAAACCTCCAGATATTTGAATTCGTGTAAACACATGAATGTTTGTGTGACTGTGTGTGCCTGAATTGTGTGAAGTTATTAGGGGTGTCTGCTAATTCGCTCTCTGCTGTTTCTTCTCTGGCTTGGCCTGTTCATCATCTAGGCAGCCTGGATCCTTCTCCAACCTTGCTCTTCCACAAACCTGTAAGTTTCTCACATTCCTCCAAATTGGTCTTGCTCTTTCCTCACCCTCTCCATTGAAGAGCAGTCCCTGCTAGGTAGTGAGTCTGGGGTGAACTGACTGGAACACTCTGCAGATAATTAGCAGATTGTGTTATTTGTTGAAAGTGACGGTTTCTTGGCATCCGGTTCCTGCATAAATAGGTGGGCGTATTAAGTTCTCAGCATATCTCTATTGTCTTGGCTTGAGTTTGATGCATTTTCTGTGTGCTGTTCATGACTTGGAGAACTCGAGGTAATCGAGCCATACCAATTTGGGGTGTGAATAGAATCCTTCCCCCCGGTGTTGCAAGGGAAAGCAAAATCCCAGAGACAAGCCAGCACCAGGTGAAGCCCCCTTCTTTTGGCAACTCACAGCTTCTCTCTTGAGAAGCTCGTCTGAGCCGATGCTCCTATGGTCACTGCGCACAGTCTCCTTAAACTCTCCTTAAACTAAAGGCTCGGGCTCTTACTTGTTTTTTTCCTGGGAACCTGAGGCAGGAAAGGTATTGCTAAGCCTTTACCAGACTCAGATCATCTGAGGCTTCTAGATATTTGACTTGATGAAACGAGCAAAGCCCTGACTCCCAGGGACATACTTACAGCTTCTTGAACTTGCTTTCTGAGCAGGGCAGAACCGGGCAATGAGTTTTCCTTTGAGTGTGCTTGTCCTTCTTCAAACTCTTACCTTGCTAGACTGTAAGCTCTTTGAGGGCAGGGATGATATCTTAGCAATATTGTTTTCCCAGTATCTAACATGAGACAGGTCCTCAATAACCATATGTTGAGTGAATGAATGAATGTCTTCTGGAAGACTCCTCGGATTGGGAAGCTACATCCATAATCGTGATGTAAATTGTTTTCTTCACTGGATGAAGAGCACAACGGCCAAAACTTCAAGGACATATTATCTATCAGGTGAACACTTTACTGTGAGACTCTTTACTTTGCCTTCCTACCTGCGCTGAAATAAAATCAAAACAGGTTATTTGGTTCTGCAAGTCAATGTATGTTGTGTGAGAATTCTGTCACCTTATTAGGAACTGTGAGACTTATCTGGTGTAAGACGCCAGTCATGAACCTTGAACCTGTTTAAACCAATGAAGATTATGAATGTGTTTATATGATGTAAATTGCTATTTAAGTGTAAAGCAGTTCTAAGTTTTAGTATTTTGGGGTTGGTTTGTATTTTTTGTTGTTGTTTTGAAAAATATTGAGGGATCTTTTGATAAGGTTAGTCATGCATGTTAGATTTTAGTTTTACAAGTGTGTTGTTTTTCAAATGTATAAAGTGTAGGAAAAGTTAAAATAGTAAGAGGGAAAGGCAATTATATTATTCTTCTATAGTTAAAAAAAGTTTATCGAGTGCCTACTGTGTGCATGGCGTGGAACCGTATTTGTGAGGAGCTTATCTAACTATGTGGGGTGTAATAGGTACTCCATAGGAGCCCATTGGATGGATACCTCCTGTGTGAAAGAAAGAACACAGCAATCACAATTATCAGAGCTGAATTAACCTCAGCATTGCTTCTCAGTATTCCATTTCTGGAATAAGAGATACAGAGAACATTTAATAAAAACGTGTTGAGACTGGGCCTCACGAACCACTAAAATGTATAAGCCTTCACAAGTTTAGCTTAATTGGGATTAATCTTTCTGTAACTATATGCCTAATTCTTGCTTTTCTTCCCATCTGGCTTCTGGGTTGACAATTTGTGGGAAGCAACCCTACTGCTGCTATTTTTTTAAAAATCAGAAATCTTGCCCTTGAAACTGTATTAAATTCAAACTGAATATTTCTGTTTTATGAAAGAATTATATTTTTCAAAATATGTTTTTTTGGTTTGATGGGTCCCAGAAAACACTAATAAAAACCACAGAAACCAACCTGTAACTGTGTGCTTCTTGCTTCAACAAGTCATTCAAAACCAGGCTTAGAGGGAATGCACTTAGCAACACACTTAGCAACACAACATATGCAGTTTCTGCATATGGTTACTCAATATGCATTTACTGAACATCTACTACTATGTGTCAGGTACTGTCCTAGGCACTGAGTTATGGCAGAGAATGAAAGAGACAAAAAAAATTCTGCTCTTTTGAAGTTTATGTTCTATTGGATGGAAACAGACAAGAAACAAAATATTAAGAAACAAACATAGCATATCAGATGTGTAGTCAAGAAATGTAGAGCAAGGAAGAGGAGTAAAGTGTGCTGGAGTATGTAGGGTTGATTGCAAGTTTAGACAGGATTAAGAAGGGTGGAAGGAAAGGAGCCATGCAGATGGCTGGGGGAATGGTACCCTACTGGAGGGACCAGCAGGTACAAAGTTCCTGAGGTTCCTGACACGTGTTCCTGACATGTCCAAGGAACAGCAGGGCAGTCTGTTTGCCAGAGTAGACTCAGCAGTAGTAGGAAATAATGTTAGAGAGGCCCTGGCAGGCCAGATGACACAGAGCTTGGAGGTCAATTTGAAGGCTCTGGTTTTTCTTTTGAGCGAGATGGAGAGCATCTGATGCTGAGTGTACATTCTTAGTGAAGGATGAACAAAGAAAGGCAGAAAAGATCACTCTTACATCCAGGTTTCCAGTACAATAGGTAAAAAGATTTCCAGGCAAGAAATGAGCTCTACCAGTTCATAACATATTTCTCCTGGGGCCCAGAAAGTCTCAGTCCTTCAGTCACTTAAGAAGTCATAATGAGGGACTTCCCTGGTAGCGCAGTGGTTAAGAATTCCCCTGCCAGTGCAGGGGACACGGGTTCGAGCCCTGGTCCGGGAAGATCCCACATGTCATGGAGCAACCAAGCCCGTGAGCCACAACTACTGAACCTGCACTCTAGAGCCTGCGAGCCACAACTACTGAGCCCACGTGCCACAACTACTGAAGCCTGCATGCTAGAGACTGTGCTCCAGAACAAGAGAAGCCACTACAATGAGAAGCCCGCGCACTGCAACGAAGAGTAGCCCCCACTCGCCGCAACTAGAGAAACCCGCGAGCAGCAACAAAGACCCAATACAGTCAATAAATAAATAAATAAATGGAAGTCATAATGAAAATAATAATAGCTAACCATTTGGGGAAGATCCACTTGATCCCAGGAACTGTGATATGTTCTTTGCATACACTATTACATTTAATCCTCATGCAAGCCTGCTATTTATAGCTATTATCTCCAATTTTCAAATGAAGGAAATGAAGGTCAGAAAGATTAAATGACTTTCTCAAGGTCACACAGCTAGTAGTAAGTGGTAGAACTGGCATTGCTCACCCAGCTCTCTTTTTCCCAAAGTCCATACTTTTATTTTTTTGGCCTCACCACGCAGCTTGCGGGATCTTAGTTCCCTGACCAGGGATTGAACCAGGGCCACGGCCCTGCAGTGAAAGCACTGAGTCCTTACCGCTGGTCCCCCAGGGATTTCCCCCAAAGTCCATACTCTTAACCCTAATATTTCTCTAGTGTGTCAAAACACTAATGTTTTACACACGCACACACGCACAAACACACACACACAGAGTTTCATGGTTAAATACATTGGAGAAAGTGAGTCAAACAATGTATCAGAGAGTTATTTACTGTAGGATTTCCCAGAGCCTTTGTGCTATGATGTGTATTGTGAATCTATAAGTGAGGGAAAAAAGTGCTCCCAATTTTCCAAGCCTATTTGACAATGCACGTTTTTCATCGAAGAAGACTTCATCGAAGAAGACTTCATGAAATCAGCACCCTTTAGAACACACTCAGGGAAATGATGATCTTTAGAGATTACCTCTCTGATTTACAAGAAGCAGTATTTTCATGTTTGGGCTAAATTAGTATGCTGATAATATTCAAGCACATCAAACTTGGCCTACTTTGTATATATTCCTGTTTTTTTTAATTGAGAAGAAATTTCCTCATTGCCCTGGGAACTATTTATTTGCATTGATGCATTTCTCAGTAATCACAAAGAACTTGCAGAGTGTCTTCTCTTTGGGAACTATGAACTCTCCTGAATTTTAACTTTAGAACTATCTGTCCAAAAATATGGGTGCTAGCCACAGGTGGCTATTTAAGTTAGTGAAAATTATGTAAATGAAATTGTTTTAAAAAACTTTTT